CATCATATATTTTCTCTGTTCTCTTGCACTTTCACTAAATATAAAAGGATCTGAATCAGCATCATGTAGCACAATAGGAATATTATTTCTTACCCTGTTAATTTTCATATTAACAAGAACAGCTATCAATCACTGAGTACATACTACACATATGACACAATGATGCTTTAGCTGCATTATCTCACTTAATCCTTTTAACAACTATATGAAGTACAGTTATTACCCCCACTTTAATAACTGGAAGAGAATAAGTAACTTGTTTATTACCCAGGTCTCTTTGACTCCAAAGAGAGTCTCTTTGACTCTCTTTGACATAGTGCCATTGAGCCTAGAAAACGAAGCTATTTTTTCTAATAACTTTTTAAAAGTTCTAATTGCTAGGTTTTAAGCAGCAGTTTGAATTTTGTACTCCCAAGTGAGATATACAGTAAGGATCCCCTTAGTCTTCACATTTAAGACAAATGAAGCCAAGAATTATTTGAAAACAAGAGTAAGAGAAAGAAAACAAGTGGCAGGAGCTTTGTTCCTCTAAAATAATGTCATCTGCTCTAGTCAGCCTTTCTTGCTCCCAAAAAAGCTGAAGAACTGTTCTTTATCAAGGGGACTATAGTTTAATCCTTTTCTTCTACTAGTCTTTAGAAGGTATTCCACTGTCTTCAAGCTTTCAATGCTGTAAATGGGAAGTCCTTTGCCTAATTGTTTTCCCCTTTTCAGGCAACTTATTCTTCCTCCCTTGAAAACATGTATATATCAACCTCAGTGTGTCTTTTCTCATCCATTCAGCATGGAACTCCACAGGCCTTTTCAATCTCAAACTTGGGTTTTTTTCTGATTATTTAATTATTACTGATCTCTTCCATCAAGTTTTTTTTTTCTTTTTCTTTCTGAAACTCCTATCACATGTAATGTTTTAAATAATATTGACTTCCAGGGTTTATTTACCTTTTCCTTCATGAGTTCCACATGCTATCATTTTGCTTTGTACTGGGGATATTTCTCATACTGTGATCTTCCAGGTTACCAATGATCTTTCTTTAATTTATCTATTGAATTTTTTTACTTTAGAAAAAAATTGAGATTTTTTTTGGCCCCAGGAAGTTTCGTCCATACTACACTTTAATTTCCCTGAGGGATCTTTTTATCTTATTCATTCAAGTGTTTATCTGACCTCTTTAGCAGTCCTGGATATGTGTTCTGATGGTCCATTCAATCTTCCCCTCTTCGGCTGAGAAGGGTTATTTTTCATTTGGCTTACTGGCTTCAGGTCTAGATGTTCAGGTATCCCAACCAGTAAGAATCCCACATGTGTTACAAGACCTAGCACCTCGATTATCTTTGGAATTACTTGCTGTGGAAACCAGCACAGCTGTCCCTTCCCTGCTGAGGAACCCAAAGGTCTCCAAAGAGAACATGCTCTGGTCCCACTTTTTCTTGATAATCGCAGAGCCTAAAGAGAGATGAGATGTAGTGGTACATGTGTTAACAGTGTGAGGGCAGTGGAAATTATATAGATTCAAGAGATTTCGTAATTAGTTTAGAGGCCCCATATTAGAAGTTCCACTTATCTACATTCTCAAGATCTCCGTATCAGTTATATTCATTTGGAAGTAACAGAAACCAATTGTGTCTACCTTACACTGAACTGACAAGAGGGTAGAGGACCAATCTTAGAAAATAAGTAAAAAGCTACCAAGCAAGTGGAAGGAATGTTGTGGCCAGGCCACTGCCAACAGTGCAGAAAAAAACCACTACTATGAATAATTCTTTAATAGCTCTAAGACTTTGTACTCAAAATTCTACAATACAGAAGGAAGGGTCTGACTGACCAAATCAAGGCCATCCCTGACTACCAAGGGGTAGAAAAAAGGAAGATCTGACTCCAGGCATTTCTGTATTCCTCCCCATAATAACTACCCATAATTTTAGATCTCTAAAATCAGAAAAGGAGTTGGGTATCCATCAGCCAAAAAGAAAAAAATGACAAATGCCCATTATGACTGCCAAATCTTATATTAGCTGACTTTGCAAACGGTATGCCTACAATTTGCTTTTAAAATGAAATTTCAAAGCACTAACTCTTGGATAGTCTCAAAAATTGTAACATATATTCAGAAAAGAAAGCGTCATTTACTTCAGTTTTTTTTTTTTTTGAGACTTTATATCTGGGAGTGAGGATAAGTAGGGAGAAGTAAGTTCCAAAGGTGGAAAAAAGCATTGATTGCAGAGCAGATTAGATTTGTTAAATATAAAAATTGTGTCATCAACATTACTGTAATGAACTTCATAACCTCTGTCTTAAGTGGCTGGTTTAATTACACAAGCATTTAAAGTTGATTTTTTAACATAACCTCAGACTGTGTTTCTTCTTTTTGATGGTAGCCAAATAGCATTTATGAAAGGGTTTGACTTTTAAACTGGTATTTTCAAAAAATGTCAATAATGGGCAAATAGACAAAACCAGATGGTCTGTATCACATAGCAGTTATAAATTCAGGTTGAGATCTTAGCAATAATAATAACAGTAATTAATAATAGCAATCAATATTTACTTAATGTTCACTATACCAGGTAGTCTAAGTACTTTACATGTATTATGCTAATTGTCCCAAGACTCCTATGAAGTATGGCTAGTATTCCCCTCTTACATGTAACACAGAAACATGGAGATTAAGTAAATGGCCTGGTCTCACGTACAGCTGTTCGCCGGGGAGGTTAGGATACAAGCCCAGAGCGTGCACTTTGCTGCAATCCGCCCTGCTGCCTCTCTTAAGCCAGTGGTAATGTGTGGCTTGGCTCTACCTTTACAAATAGCAAGTCTATTCGCTATTCTACCTCACATATAGAGACATGATTAATCTTAAAATACTTAGGCAAGCATTTCATTATCTAGGCTCTTTTAAAACTTAATTTTGTACACTAACCTCTCAAAACCATGACACTCAAGCAAAAAGAGAGGGGGAAAAAAAAAGGCTCCCAATTCTTTCACTCAGTTGTCCCAAAGTAGAAATATATCTAATAGAAACAGGTCCAAATTCCTTAACTGTACTCAAATGCGTAATGTGTGATATATAAGCTATCATATACCTGAGAGGCTTCAGTCTACCTGAGAATAAACATCCTAATAGGTTCCTGAAAGCTAATTAAGTGTACAGGAGGGTCTACAACTACTCTTATTCCCCGTAACTATGTTACATACTTTAATAGCAGCTATACCCTCAATTAGCTTTTGATTATACTTCCCAAGGTGCTCTTCCCTTACCCTCAACCTTCATAAGACACAAGAACTTGGAAGGAAAGCAACATGCGGCAAAGCCTATTGAGGATTATGGGACCGAGGGACTGTAGGAATCAATTATTTAAAAATCAAGTCCTACATCTAGTCCTTTATTTCAACAGAACATAGATAAAAGGAGCAATTTCATTAGGTACTTATAAGAGGTGGATTAGGAGGAGAAGAGGAATATTAATTTCCCTAAGATATTAAAAGCACTGATAGAGTGAAAAATTCAAAAAGGCACAGGTAAGAATACAGAAGACCAAAGCCTAGAAGGGATAATATTTCAAGAAGGTGAAAACTGTATAAAATTTTATAACTAATGACAGGAAAACCCAATGGCTATGACAAGGTGAAGCAAAAAAAGATGAAAGTAGGGAAGTTGAAAGTCTACAAGATTACATAAGAATACATGTTAAGTTCCATAAGTCATCACAGAGTAACTTATCACAAGTAACTTAAGAGGTTTAGTGGTCAGAGAATATGTGATAAGTTCAAGCTTTTCAGGTTACTTTTATGAAATGACTCAGTCTAGGACATGGCTGTTTTAGTGAGAGACTTAGGAAGAAACAGGAGAATCAACTGAAAGCGGAAGATGTCAAAGATCAAAAAGGATAGGGTATTCACAGGGTCATGTCAGTGGATGGTGAAGTGACAGGACAGCAACAGAGAATGGCATAATGAAGTTACGTCAGGCAGTGCAACACACTTTGAGGGAAACTAAAGAAAAAGTATTAGAGGTTGGAATAGGTGGCTATGAAGAGGGAGAAAATATTAATAATTGTACCACCTCTGTATCTTTAAAAACGACATATCTATTTCAGTATTATCATCAAAATATCTGATTAAACTGAAATGGATATCATTCAGGAAGACAAAAATTATGTAAATCAACCTGCCATGGGCTAAACAAACATCTACCATCTTGAGTTCCAAGAAACTGATGACACACTCAAGAGAAACTATGCTCGTCCTCTAGAAATTTGTTTTTAGATTTCAAAATGAAAGATTTTATACAATAAAGCAAAATTTAAATATATTTATATTTAGATATAAATAGAAGAGGAAGAAATGCTCATTGAATACAATTTCACATAACTGCAATACCTAAAATCACTGAAAGTTCAATTTTTTTGAAATTGCTTTTTCTCTAGACATATGGCATATGTTGAAAATATTAAGCCCTAAACTATTATATTCAAACCACTCAAAGCTTTCCACTGCTAATAAAATAGCTGGTGTTCAATTTTTAGCAACATAAAGAAAAAGGTTTTGCCTTAGTATTAGATGACTTTCCTTGAATCAACCTAAAACATCCAAGTATGTCATCCAATTTGGTTAAGTACTTGTACTTTATAATGGTTCTCATTTATGCTAGTATGGAAAACTTGAAGTCTTTTAAAGTGACTGTAGATTAACTAAATTGGTAACAGTAATCCATCAAAATTTAGTTCCACATCAGCTGGCATTTGCCTTGCAGTTGGAGAGTTAATGATGTGAATCTTGTTCTTAACCAACTTTAGATTTTCACTTCTCTACTTCCCTTTTAATGGAAAAGAAACTGCTTCTAAGAATAAGAAGTAATAAAACCTTTCTTACTTATTCTGAGGAACACTATTTCCATTGCAATAAAAAAAAACAAGGGAGAAGGGTAAACCTTTCTTTAAAATGTTATTATACCTGTCAGGTTGATCTTACAATTTAGATATCACCAAATAATACTTACCAATACATACATCGATCTTTCCTTTAATAGCAGCTTCATGCAGAGGCGTATAGTTCCAGTTATCCCTGGCATTTGGATCAGCTCCTTGGCACAGTAACAGACTCACAACCTCAGCATGGCCAAAAGAACAAGCATTATGAAGCGGGATGAGACCGCCATCATCACGAGCATGGACATTAGCACCCATCTGTAGTAAGTGTTCTACGACATCCTTCCTTCCAAAACCTAAAAAGAAAAAGGGAAAATATTTTATACAGAAAGTCAATTTTGAAAAAAAAATGATTAGAATTCCTTTAACAATATCAACAAATATGAACAACTAAAGTATTCTGTAACAAGAAAGGTTAAAAAAGAAAAGGCTGCCACTCAAATGGATTCTCTCATCTCAAAAAACTTAGAACTAAGAAATCTCTTCCTTTAGGTTAGGCAGTTCATTCAAAAAACATTTCTTCAACACCCATTGTGTGCTGGACAACTGTGTTAGATATACAGAACGAATGAGCCAAGATTCCTGTCCAAGACATTCACTTCCCCCTCATGCTTCACAAAACAAAATTATATGTATAAAATCCATCTCCACCTCCGTATTTTAAGAGATAAATGTTATTTAAATACTAATGACAACCAAATCTTAGACAAATCACAACATTCAACACTACACTTGGGAAACTGAAGGAAAATATATGGATACCAGAAACATGTGGTGATGGTTTAGTTACAAGATATTTGAAAAGGAAAAACTAAAGATAATGCCATAATATCTATTTTTGGGCCAAGAATAGCCAAACTAAATGAAATATAGGTAGTTAAGTGAAATAATTCAAACTTGGGTTTACTGAGTTTAAGGAAATGACATGACAAGTGGAAATACAAGCATTTGGAAATACAGAACCAGAACACTAGTGAAAAGTATCACAATTTTCAGACAGAAAAAAAGGTGGGGAGGTGGTTCAGAAGAACCAGAAAAAATCTAAAGCAATGTGAGAACTAGGTAAACACTGAGAAAGGTAAGAAATACCAAGAAAACACAACATTATGGAAGTCAAAGGGCAACAACATTATGCAAAATCCAGCATGATAAGGATTTAGTGAGATCAATAGAGAACGGAAAAAACAGCCATTGACAATTTAAAGTCATTGTATTACTGTGATGAAATTACAAGCTACATTGCAATGGGTTAAAAAGAAAAAAAGGAAACCGCAAATACTAGCATTTTTTTATGTTTACCAGCTTAGTACTTTCATTAATGATCCTTTCTTTCCTACTTTAAATTTTATTAGGGCTTACTGGCTAGGTATTATTACCTTTGTGCTATTTCTTACCATATAATGCTGTTAGAAAATGGCATCTTAAATAAAAATGAAAAGCAGTAGGAGTCATATTTTCCTTCACTTTATGCGTATATAAACTAAATAAATGAGAACTATGTGAAAATAGATAAAAAAAAATATTTCTCTCAACATATGTCCTCCACACTATCTTTAGAAATCCATTCATTCCAGGCAAGAGGGCTCTAAGAAAGTCTCCAAAGATACATTCCACAGATATGTATCACAAAGTCAGGTTTCCATAGAAAATATCTTTCAAATTAAGTTGAAAAATTAGGGTAAAGAGGTTAATTCTGTAGTAGAAACTGGAAAACTAAAAGTATACAGTACGTGCTAATGTAACTATCACCGCCTTGCTGGCTGTTTAAGAGCTGCAGAACTTGACTTGCAGAACTTTTTGTTACGTTCTGTTTAATTCTCGCACTTCCATGTCCTTCCTCTATCACAGCCCTACTCTTTCACTGGGCTATAGGCACTTTCTTTATTCATAAAGAGTTAATGATTTTCCTGCTTTATAGATCTAAGTAAAGGCAGAGTGCAAACCCACATTTCTCTTATCAGTGCATTAACAATATTTTATGAGAATTAATTTCCTATCTTCTCTAATAAAGTTAAAATGAGACACTTTTAAACTTATCAACTGGCACTTTAAAAAATATCTTTTATAATTTTGAAGCAGGGGAGGGTATAGCTCAGTGGTAGAGTGCGTGCATAGCATGCGCCAACGTCCTAGGTTCAATCCCCAGTACCTCGAAAAAAAAAAGATGACTAAAACCTTACCCACCCCCCCAAAAAAAACCCCACATGAAGCAAAATAACAAAAGTACTTACTTTTTACTAAAACTTTTAGATCTAAAATATAAAATAAAAAAAAATGCTTGGTATCAGCAAGAAAGTGGTGTAATGGAACTGTGCTCACACACTGAAAATGTGATTATAAACTGTTACCACATTTTAGAAAAAATGCAGCATCATCAGGAATAGGCTTAAACAAATATACCCTCTGACTCAACAATATCACTTTTCCAACTTCATCATTTAAAAAAGTAGTCATGTATAAACAAAAATTTTGCAGTAAGAATGTTTATCATAACACTATAGAAAATCATGGAAACAATTTAGATGCCTGACAACAATAACACAGTGAAATAAATGATGAAGTGATGGTTTTCGATACAACATCCTGTTTTAAAAGGATGCTACAGAACACTGTGAATGCCCTTAATGTCACTGAATTACATACTTAAAAATGTTTAAAATACCAAAATTTCAACAATTTTTAAATTTGTGTATTTTACCACAATTTAAAAAGAATCAAAAAAGGTGTAAAAGAAAAAACAGGACATTACAGAAAATTCAACAACATGAAAGGTGATTTTTGGATTAATCAGTCTTTTAGATTAAGAATATATTTTTTAAAAAGGAGAAAACATTACATATATTTCAAATATAGATGGCTAGAAAGAGACTAAAATAACAAAGTAGTAGACTTATGAAATTTTTCTTTTCTTCTTTTTATCTGTTCTCTTAATTACACTAAAACACAATTTAGTATAAATATATGTGTGTGTACACATGTTTAAAAAAAGAGGTGGAAGTGAACAGTTAAAATCAGTAAAGATACATTTTATGTGGCAATTATGAAGTGATTCTTCTAATTTGATTTTGTATTAAAATATATTATTAAATCAGGTTTTGTTATCCATGAAACAAATCAGTCCCGTTTAAAGTATTGTAATTTAGAAAACTATACATAAACTTTACTCAAAACATATACTTCACCTGTTCTACTGAGTACAAATCAATAATAGTTGATCATTCACCATTCTACCAAATGCATTATTTTTCACACATAAAGAGAATTCATTATCCCATTATCCCTGATGGTTATATAAGGCCTTTGTTTCATAACCAAGGTTTGTAGTCATAATTATCTCTATAATTGATTTGTTTATTTATATCTAAAGACCCAAAATAAAAATAACAATTAGGGTCAGCTCAAAGAACTATGCAGAATTTCAAGTAACTTATCAGTAACTAACTCTTAAGGAATTAGTACCTAAGTGAAGTGTTACAGATACTATACTGCAGACAAGATTTTCAGTGTCCCATTCCTTCAAGCTAGCATATGTCAAAAAAAACCCAGCTGAGTCACAATTTTAAAAAGGAATAATGTTGCTACTAATACATATATTTATGGCTCTGTATTATGAAGTACAAAAGGAAAACCAATGACCCGCCTTCTCTCTCTGGTCCAGCAGATTGCTAAAAATTAAGACAGTGTAATACCGACAAACAGTATGTGCTATCACAGACTTCCAACCTGACAGTTACATAACAGGTATGATTAACTTTTACTGAAATTTTCTTTTTGCTCCAAGTACATGCCTTATTCTTAACAACAATAAAAATAACAATAATGGTAAGTAACTAAAATTTAGTAAGCTTTTCTGTGTGTCAAGGCGTATGCCAAGTGCTTGAGATGCATCAGCTCCTCGTGATAACACCTGTGAGAGATGCTGTTATCCTCACTTCATGGTTGAAGAATTCTTTCCCTCAGTCCTGATATTCATGAACCATACTTCCAAATACACATCTCAAATCTGTCTGTTTCCCAGTCCCACCAGCTCGGTTTCAAGTCCCATAATCTCTCACCTAGACTTCAGCATATAACCTGCTAACTGGACACTCTCTGCTGTCACATATGCTCCCCTACGCATCTGCTGCATCCTTAACACAGTAGACAGAATGAGCTTTTCAAGGCATGTATCAGATGAGGTCACTTCCCTGCTTAAAATCCTGTAATGCTTCCCATAACACACATAATAAAATATTACTACCACCTCCTTATGACCTACAAGGCTTTATGTGAGTTGGCCACTCTCACCTCTTCTGTCTCACTGAGCTTTAATTACCCTGATTTTCACTTTCTGTTCCCTGGATACGACAAACTTGTTTCAGCCTAGAGGACTCTGCACTTGGTGTGCGTTCTGCTTAAAGACCTTGGACCCAGATCTTCACATGCCTACCTCCTTCTGTCATCCAATTCTCAGCCCAAAGATAAGCAACTCAGAGACTCTGACCACTCAATTTAAGTCACCCATGCATGCACACACTCTTTCATCACTGTTTTCAATATGAGTTCTTGATATATTTTGGATATTAACCTCTTACCAGACATATCACTTGCATATATTTTCTTCCATTCAGTAGGTTGACTTTTCATTCTGTTGATGATTTCCTTTGCCGTGCAGAGGTTTTTTAGTTTGATGTAGTTCCACTTGTTTATTTTTGCTTTCTTTGCTATGTCAAGGAGCTTACCACCTATATTTTCTTCTAGGATTTTCATGGTTTCAGGTCTTACAGTCAGGTCTTTAATCCGTTTTAGGTTAATTTTTGTATACAGTGTAAGATAGTGGTCCAGTTTCATTCTTTCCCATGTAAGCTGTCCAATTTTCCCAACACCATTTATTGAAGAAACTGTCCTTTCCCCATCAAATATTCTTGGCTCCTTTGTCATAAATTAATTGACAATATACGGATGGGTTTATTTCTGGGCTCTCCAGTCTGTCCACTGATCTATGTGTCTGTTTTTAAGCCAATACCACACTGTTTTAATCACTTTAGCTTTGTAATGTAGTTTGAAATCACAGCACATGATGCGTTCAGCTTTCTTTTTCTTTCTCAAGATTGCTTTGGCTATTTGTAGTCTTTTGTGATTCCATACAAATTTTATAATTATTTGATTTCTGTGAAAAATACCACTGGAATTTTTATAGGGGTTGCATGGAATCTACACATTGCTCCTGGCAGTACAGGCATTTTATATACTGTGTGGAAAGCACTGTGCTGGTACCGTGAGGAAAACCTAAATTAGTAACACATTACCTAAATTT